TATATATATATATATATATATATATATATATATATATATATATATATATTTATATATAAATTTATATATATAAACTATTTCAGTTATATAGTGTTATTAATTGTATATACAACAAAAGTTTAAAACACAAAATAAAACAAATAATAAAAATACATGAATTTAAGAAATTAAATTCATGTATAATTAAATTATAATAAAATAACTAACAATAAAATTTAAATTAATTAGAATCAAGATATGACTGATTTCATTAAATTGTAATATGGTGAAGTAACTTTTGGTTATCTCTGTCGCACAGATAAGTGGGATGGTTGAGAGATATTTTTATCTATGAAAGTGACCTTCTTGAGTGGTCTTGAGCGGTCTTGAGTGGTCTTGAACTGTCTTGAACGGTCTTAAACGGTCTTGAGCGGTCTTGAACGGTCTTGAGTGGTCTTGACCGGTCTTGAACGGTCTTACCCTCAGGTTAACTCAGTTCCGAGCATTATCACTAAGTAAAAGTTTACCATAAACTTAATCGGATTCGTTTTTTATGAAAAAACTCCCGTCTCGTTTTCTTTGCAGTGTTTGAGGACTGTCTATTATAAGTGTCCCTGGCTGACGTCGGAAAATCGTACCTTCTTCTGATCTGATTGATAGTCTTAGGTGAATGGGCTTCTCTATAGACTAATGACACTCAGAGAGAGAGTGCTGAATTCCTTATCTAGGTTTAACGATAGGTTTGACGCCCATCAATCACGAGATGGTGATTGAGGCAGCATCATTAGCAGCATAAGCTAAGCGTATTAATTACTTTAGGCATAGTGTGTCATACATCTATCTAGAACTCCAACATTATGTTTGTAACTCGTTTTGAATGTATGTACTTTTACCTGATTAGATATTATCTGCTCATCAACTGGAATGTCAATTTGGAACTTGAGTAGGGTTCAGATGCTTCGATTGATTAGTTTAGTTCCTATGTTATGCACCTCATGCTCATCCTGTGAGTGGTAGTGGACCCCATGCTTATCCTGTGAGTGGTAGTGGACCCCCATGCTCATCCTGTGAGTGGTAGTGGACCCCATGCTCATCCTGTGAGTGGTAGTGGACCCCATGCTCATCCTGTGAGTGGTAGTGGACCCCATGCTTATCCTGTGAGTGGTAGTGGACCCCCATGCTCATCCTGTGAGTGGTAGTGGACCCCATGCTCATCCTGTGAGTGGTAGTGGACCCCATGCTCATCCTGTGAGTGGTAGTGGACCCCATGCTCATCCTGTGAGTGGTGGTGGACCCCCATGCTCATCCTGTAAGTGGTAGTGGACCCCATGCTCATCCTGTAAGTGGTAGTGGACCCCATGCTCATCCTGTGAGTGGTGGTGGACCCCCATGCTCAATCTGTGAGTGGTAGTGGACCCCATGCTCATCCTGTGTGTGGTAGTGGACCCCATTCCCATCCTACAGGTTGTAGTGGACCCCATGCCCATCCTGCGGATAGTGGCGTACCCCATGCCCAGCGTGTGGGTTGTTGTGGATCCCATGGCCATCCTATGGATGGGGGTGGACCCCATGGCCATCCTATGGATGGGGGTGGACCCCATGGCCATCCTATGGATGGGGGTGGACCCCATGGCCATCCTATGGATGGGGGTGGACCCCATGGCTATCCTGTAGATGAGAGTGGACCCCATGGCCATCCAGTGGCCAAGAGAGGCCCCTGTTAGCTCAGTCAGTTAGACTTAATTTGTTAGTTGACCCAGTTACACTTGAAAGCTGAGTCAATAAATTTAAACTAATTGTGTTATCATGGACGCCACACTCATTCAGCGGGCGGCGAGGGGAGCTTTCAATCACCTGTGTGCACTACCTCCATGTATTTACCTGAATTTACCTGATTTTAACCATCTTCAGTTGCCACGATTTTCTCCAGCTGGACTTTAAAGTGAAATAATTAATGTCTTGGCATTTACGACTTCAGCGGGTAGGCGGTTCCTAGGATTTGGTAACCCTGCTGGTGAAAGTGTTTGTGAAGGAACATTCCTGTATGGGGCCCTAAGCCTCTGATTGGCCTACTAAGTGTTACTTGTTTCTGTTTAACTTAGGCAGTGAATGAGTATTTATGACTCGTATGATCACTTCAGTAAGATTATGCCCCATGTATTTAACAACTTCTTCTTCTCTATTGAATCTAAGTTGAAATGTTATTGGGTCTGTAACTATGCACTGTGTTAGATAATGTTCCAGTGGTCTGTTGTGGTTGTAACTGTGCACTGTGGTAGATAATGTTCCAGTGGTCTGTTGTGGTTGTAACTGCACTGTGTTCGATAATATTCCAGTGGTCTGTAGTGGTTGTAACTGTGCACTGTGTTAGATAATGTTCCAGTGGTCTGTCGAGCATTTCTCCACAGTGCTGACATTTCCTCTCATCTTCTGGAACCTGTAAGCCTATTTCCCATGCACATGGGTGTCCCAGCCTGATGCGATGTAAGTGTACTTCTGTTCTACTGCTCACTTTCATCTCGTCCACACTAGGGGACTAATCATTAACACCACACTAATATCTCATAATCATAACTTCAAATCCTCATAAACATCCTCACTACCATACTAACTGACATTTCCAAATTTATTATCACTCAAACAACGCTTCACAAACATCTTCACTACCACACAAACATCTTCACTACCACACAAACATTTTCACTACCACACAAACATTTTCACTACCACACAAACATTTTCACTACCACACAAACATTTTCACTACCACACAAACATTTTCACTACCACACAAACATTTTCACTACCACACAAACATTTTCACTACCACACAAACATTTTCACTACCACACAAACATTTTCACTACCACACAAACATCTTCACTACCACACAAACATCTTCACTACCACACAAACATCTTCACTACCACACAAACATCTTCACTACCACACAAACATCTTCACTACCACACAAACATCTTCACTACCACACAAACATCTTCACTACCACACAAACATCTTCACTACCACACAAACATCTTCACTACCACACAAACATCTTCACTACCACACAAACATCTTCACTACCACACAAACATCTTCACTACCACACAAACATCTTCACTACCACACAAACATCTTCACTACCACACAAACATCTTCACTACCACACAAACATCTTCACTACCACACAAACATCTTCACTACCACACAAACATCTCTACTTCTAAACTCACAATCATAACGTCTAAGCTCTAAAGATATCCTCACTACCTCGCTAACTCGCCAACATCTTCACTACCAAACTCATAATTATAACTTCAAAGCCTCACAAACATCCTCATTACCACACTAACATCATTTACCAAACTAATAAACAATATCCCAGTAACGCAGGAAGATCTTCACTTTAAAAATCATAAAATCAACACTACTTAGAAATAATTATCTTACTAACTTCATAATAACTGTCAAACTTATTCAGAATTATTTACGCTACAGAAGTATTTTTCTTTACTGCACTAAAAAACAAACATCTTTCACTCTAAACTCATAGCCAGTAGCTCAGTAAATCACATATGTCTTTACTACCAAATTCGTAATATTTACTACAGAAATTCGCAAACATCATTACTTCAACAACTAACAAATACCATTACCAAAAACACTCACAAACATTGGTCAGGTTAATTCACAAACATCAACCACACTCACACGCTTCAATATAAAAATTATAATTACCACACAAGCTCACAAACATATCTTATTTTAAATAATAATTACTAACACAATACTCACAAATCCCTTCACCACGATCACATTCCATAGATTTATCACTCTAACTCATAAACACATTCGCTACCATGGTCATAATATTTATGCATTTATGCCACCAATTCAGAAACATTTTCACCACCAAACTCATAATCCCTATTAATTTCCAAACACCTTCACTAAGTTAAAATCCCCTCAATAACCTACACAAATCTTCACTATCTAGATCATAATAATACCCACAGTCTTTACAAATAATTTCACTACCAAAATCATGATAATTCTTACACTCACAGAGGTGTTGGAAGGCTGAAGTAAAGCAACAGTTAGCGGCGCTGGATGTGATGAATGTTATACAGTCTGACAGAGTCTCACCAGAGCTTATATGGCAACTATATGATCATATACGGCAACTTCCTGGCATTTGGAAAGTGGCAAATGTGGCACCTATATTCGAGACAGGAGGAAGACAGGATCCATTGAACTTCAGCCCGGTATCACTAAGTATTCCCTGTAAGATATTACAGAGGCCAATCAAAAGAAGTCTCGTCGAATATTTAGATTTAGAACATACCTGTTTCCTCTTGCTCTTGAACGACTGATTAGACGTCTATGACAAGATGTCAACAATGAGACGGAATAGAGAGGTCTTGGCAGACTGCATTTTCCTGGATTTCCAGAAAGGATTTGACACTGAGTGACTCCCATACGAACTCCTACAACAGGCTGTTGTATCGGAAAAAGTACTAAAGTGGGTGAAGTGACCTTTGAATGAGTCACAGTAAGAGGAGAGCTGTCAGCATGGAGAGAGACGTAACGAGTGGATTACCTCAAGTCTTAGCATTAAGGGCCATCCACTTCCTAATAAATGTAAACGATCGAACAGAGGAAGAGAGCTCTTTCTTATCCATGTTTGCTGACGATGCTAAACTAATGAGGCGAATCACCGCTGAGGAGGACTGCAATTCATTACAAGGTAAACTAGATAATCTCAAGAGATAGTCTGAGAAATGGCTACCAGACTTTAACCCTGAGACATGAGAGATTATGAGGATAGAAGTTAGCGCAGGAAGACGCCAAATACAGCAGAGAATGAAAGGAAGGCAACTTCTGTAAATGAGAGAGGCGTTCCTAGTGACGGAACCCGGTAGATGGCCTTGACTATATTTCCGTCATCTAGGATATGAAGAGTAGCTTACTTGCATCATTTTGCTTCTCTTTAAATTCGTCTGCTCCAGTAGGACTCCAAACTCTCAAAATGGAGTTAAGCGGAGAAGTCCTCAGTCATCTTTTGAAAAACAGGAAAAAAATTCTTGGCAGCGGAACATATGGACTTGTAGTACTAATCGAGTTCCAAGGAATGGAAGCAGCGCTTAAGGTAGCCAAGTCCGCTAAAGCAACTAAAAGCTTCACACGCGAGGCAAAAATTTTGGAATCACTGAAGGGCGCAGGCGGCGCCCCTCTGCTGCTGGGGGTGTCAACTGAGCCCCAAGCACTGCTCACCACTTATAAAGGAAACTGTACCCTGGAAAACCTATTGAAAAATCCCCTTTACAATTTAATCACAGTCGGACTAGAGGTCGGGAGAAAAATTCAAGAGATTCACGCGATGGGAATTATTCATAATGATATCAAAGTAAATAATGTTATGATCCAGGGATCACCTAACGACCCAAAAGTCAGCATTATTGACTACGGACTGGCATGTAAGGACGGGGATAATATGCTAATGGCAGGTGACCCATCCGTATACAAAACATACGCACCAGAATTTCTCCGCCGACAACCAAGTACCCAAATCAGCGATGTGTTCTCATACGGGCGACTCATGCAAGAACTTCTCCAAAATTTTCACACCCGATACCCTCCTTTGGATTATTTGTTCATGAGAGCAACTCATCCAAACCCAGTGTGTCGCCCGACCCTTCCAGACATACTTCAACGTTTACAGGATTTCGTCGTCAGCAACGCCCTGAACCAGGTCCAGCCCCACAACGAAGCAAGCAAAAGGCTGACTGACACGGACCAGCCCTGCAGCGGACCCAACAAAAAGGTGGCTGTCGGAGGCCCAGGACAGCGCCTCCCAAGACAGAACAAAAGGCTCGCCGACAAAGATCGCTTCAAGTGGATGCGACTAGCGCCTCCACTCATCCAACAAACCCGAAAGTGATTTGTTAACTCGAATCCTAATCTGAATTTTTTTTGAATAGGAATCCTTTAATTTGTATTTGTTGTTAAAGGAATTCTTTTGTTTATTGAGCTTTACCATGTATTAATTGTTTTAAATAAAATATGTGTGTGTGTGTGTGTGTGGGTGTAATTACCTTAGTGTAATTACCTACGTAGTGGTAATTATATCTAGCGCCTGACAGCTGGGTGGACACCGCTTCGGATTAGTAGTCCTGAGGTTCCGGGTTCCACCGCTTTGGAGGCGTAGACCTGAGGTTCAGGGTTTTCACCCTGATGCCCCTGTTACTTAGCAGTAAATAGGTATCTGGGAGTTAGACAGCTGCTACGAGCTGCTTCCTGGGGGTGTGTAACAAAAAGGAGGCCTGGTCGAGGACCGGGCCGCGGGGACGCTAAGCCCCGAAATAATCTCAAGATAACCTCAAGATATAACTAACCTAAGTGTAGTTACAGGATGAGAGCTACGCTTGGGGTGTCCCGTCTTCCCAGTACTCTTTATCATATAACACTTTGAAACTACTGACGGTCTTGGCCTCCACCACCTTCTCACCTAACTTGTTCCCACCGTCTACCGCACTATTTGCGAAAGTGAATTTTCTTATATATCTTCGGCATCTGTGTTTAGTTAGTTTAAATCGATTTTATCAATTCCTGTTACTATTTTGTACGTAGTGATCATATCACCTCTTCTTCTTCTGTCTTCTAGTTTTTGCATATTTAATGCCTCTAACCTCTCGTCATAGCTCTTGCCCTTCAGTTCTGGGAGACACTTAGTAGCATATCTTTGCACCTTTTCCAGTTTGTTGATTTGCTTCATATTCTACTTTCTACTTTTTATATTCTACTATCCGCTGCATATTCTTGCTTTGGCCTAACAAAAACAAATGTGTGTGTGTTTGTGTGTGTGTGTGTGTGTGTGTGTGTGTACCCTGTGTGTGTGTGTGTGTAAGTTACCTCTTGTGTACTCACCTATTTGTGCTTGCGGGGGTTGAGCTTTGTCTCCTTGGTCCCGCCTCTCAATTGTAAATCAACTGGTGTACAGGTTCCTGAGCCTATTGGGCTCTATCATATCTACATTTGAAACTGTGTATGGAGTCAGCCTCCACCACATCACTTCCTAATGCATTCCACTTGCTAACTACTCTGACACTGACAAAATGCTTTCTAATGTCTCTGTGATGTGTGTGTGTGTGTGTGTGTGTGTGTGTGTGTGTGTGTGTGTGTGTGTGTGTGTGTGTGTGTGTGTGTGTGTGTGTGTGTGTGTGTGTGTGTGTTTACTATTTGTACTTGCAATTTTTGTGTCTACAGGATAGAGCTGTTAACTCTTGGACCTTTCTAACCATTGGTTGTCTAATGTATTGACTACCGACCTGTTTTACTTCAATCATGTTTACTACATATTTTTCTTTCATAAACACATCCTCACCAGCAGCCCGTAGTAGCTGTCTAAATCCCGGGTACCTACTTACTGCTTGGGTGAACAGATGCATCAGGTGAAAGAAATTCTGTCCATTTGTTTCTGCTTTGGCTGGGAATCGAACTCGGAGCCATAGGATTATGAAAATAAAGAACTGTCTGCTCGGCTGCGAGATGTACTCACCTAGTTGTGCTTGAGGGGGTTGAGCTTCGGTTCTTTGGTCCCGCCTCCAAACTGTCAATCAACTGGTGTATAGATTCCTGAGCTTACTGGGCTCTATCATATCTACATTGGAAACTATGAATGGAATCTGACTCCATCACATCACTGCCTAATGCATTCCATTTGTTAACATCTCTGACAGCAAACAAGTTCTTTTTAATGACTCTATGGCTCATTTGGGTACTAAATTTTCACCTGTGTCCCCTAGTGCATGTGCCCCCCCCCCTGTGTCAGACCGTCTTTATCTACCCTAAAATTCCTCTGAGACTCTTATATGAGGTGGATATGTCCCCCGAAAATTCTTCTGTCTTCCAGCAACGTGAGGTTTAGTTCCAGTAGTCTCCCCTCGAAGCTCATACCTCTCAGCTCGGTACTAGTCTAGTGACATATTTCTGGTTTTTCTCCTATTTAGTCTAGTGCTTGAAGAGATAGGGACTCCATGCGGCAGCTGCACGCTCCAGGATTGGTCTGACATATGTGGTATTCAAGTTTCTGAATGATTCCTGACAAAAGTTTATTAATGCCGTTTTTATTCTGGCCAACCTGGCATATCCTACGGATGTTATCCTCTTGATATAGACTTCAGGGAACATGTTTGGCATGATATCAACCCTCCAGGTCTTTTTCATTATGTGATACTTGAAGAATTTATTCCCCCAAATGGTACCTTGTATCTGGCTTCCTGCTCCCTACACCTATCTTCCCTGCTTTACATTTTATCCGGTTAAACTCTTACAGCCATTATCTAACCACTTGGACTGGACGGTAGAGCGACGGTCTCGCTTCTTGGTCTCGGTTCCAGAGCTGCACAGTTCCCGGCGTAGCGTCGCGAGTCGCCGCGAGTTACGTTAATGTGATGTTCCGTTAATAGTCTGTGTTTGCAATATAGTCAAAGTTATCGTTAGTCGCCCCATATTGCCCGGGTGTACGTGTGTACTCCTGAGGAAGCTGGTGGGCAGTCTCCCGGTGCCTCAAGGAATAGGCTGTTATCTTGAGGTTATCTTGAGATGATTTTGGGGCTTTTAGTGTCCCGCGGCCCGGTCCTCGACCAGGCCTCCACCCCAGGAAGCAGCCCGTGACAGCTGACTAACACCCAGGTACCTAATTTACTGCTAGGTAACAGGGGCATAGGGTGAAAGAAACTCTGCCCATTGTTTCTCGCCGGCGCCTGGGATCGAACCCAGGACCACAGGATCACAAGTCCCGCGTGCTGTCCGCTCGGCCGACCGGCTCCCTCGGTACCCAAGAGCTTGTTCCTCTCTGGCCAGCACTGCTGTTACGGAAGATCTCTTATCTAAGCTGGCCTCCGTGCACGCGAACACACACGCACGCTAACACACACAATCACCAGTTGATTGACAGTTGAGAGGCGGGACCAAAGAGACAAAGCTCAACCCCCGCAAGCGCAATTAGGTGAATACACGCACGCAAACACACCCACGCGAACACATCAACACTCACAGCGACCAAAACTTGGAAGGTAATTCATCTTTTCAGTTTAATCATTTTTATTTTTATTTTAATTGATGGAGATTGATTTTTCTTCTTTAAGAATCTGTGATGAGGCAAACACCTCTTTGTAGGTGGTAATGAAAATAGCGTTATCGAATTAATAAGTTATCCCTACCCCCTGCTGGTTAGCGAAAAGCTAAGGAAGAGAGAGAGAGAGAGAGAGAGAGAAAGAGAGAGTGAGAGAGAGAGAGAGAGAGAGAGAGAGAGAGAGAGAGAGAGAGAGAGAGAGAGAGAGAGAGAGAGAGAGAGAGAGAGAGAGAGAGAGAGAGAGAGAGAGAGAGGCAAACATAAAGATACACAGACAAGTGCCGAAACTAATATTTTGTAACTGCAAACATTCCCTCACGCGACTGACTTGCTATGATAACCAAATGAGAGAGAGAGAGAGAGAGAGAGATAGCAACATTCCCAAGACGAAGTCAAACTGAAGTACAGGGCCCTCATACATAGCCTATACGCACAAATACACATTTATATTTGTTGACCAAACCACACACTAGATAGCAAAGGCACGACGACGTTTCACTCCGTCCTGGACCATTCTCAAGTCGATTATACACATGTATATACCTTCGCCGTACCACAAACGACACATATGTGACGTATTCACCCTCACACACCTGACCCAAACACCTGTTTATAGGCTATATACCCTTAGACGTACAACCTCTTTTATGACTCGACCGGATACATAAAGGTATATATATACCTCTTCGAGGTTACACTTCCAATTATCATACATTCCCCGAAAATATAATGGAGAGAATTTATCGGGTCTGGAGTATGACCAGTAATCATATTTGTTCACGAGAACATTACGGTGTGAATTATTGGGCAAATATGTGATATAAAGATTAGAGGGAACGGGCCGGAATTTATTTCCATTGCTGACAGAATGGCGAAACCCAATATGTATATATATATATATATATATATATATATATATATATATATATATATATATATATATATATATATATATATATGTGAACAAGCCTGAA